AAATAAAAGAACCAAGCTCTTGAACACCCTCATTGTCCTTTCTCCACAACTTTTGTTATAAATATGGAGGCACAACAGTGCTATTTATACAGTTGTATATGAGCAGTTTGTTTGTACATTTTGTATATTTTATGGCAAGTATATATGGATCTGCTGTATAAATTAAGTTTGCATAACTGTACTCAATGTGATGATGTAGGTTACATATTAATACACTGGGGAAATTCCTAAAGACTGTAATAAGTTAAGTCTGAGCTGTATTTCCTTATCCGTGCACATATTCAGTGCAAAATACAGTGAACAGTTATCACATGAGGCAGATATTGCTCAGCAGCCTCCAACTTCATCACTGGCCATCCCCATCTCCCTTTCAGCCTTCACATACATATTGCACTGGCGTTCTGTAGCTACTCAGCGTATCCATAGTGGTCCGGGAGCAAAATTTCCCTTTTTCATTGTAGAAAAGAGGCCTTACTTTCCAAAGAGTCTGGCATCATGTACCTTTCCAGACCACCCTTCATCAATATTGATGCTTCTGCTGCAGTGATCAACAAATCTTTGGAGGACTTCTGATGATGAACTCTGAGGCCTGGTGTGGTGGGCAAAGCATTCATTGGTCCCATCAGTGGCCCCAATACAGTCTGGGAACCCCAGCCATGCAAAACCATTGATAATCTTCTGTGCAGTGCCCTAGCCTTTATGACCCCTGGCAGCAGCATCCTGTTAATAGCTGCTCACACTTCCATGACAACAGCCTTGACAGTTGACCTATAAACACCAAACTGGTTATCTAGTGGCAGAGAGCAATCCAGGGGGGTGAGCTGTCAGATAACGATGTACATATGCTTCTGCAGGCTGAGGGGAATTCTTGTTTGATTGCTGCAGCTCCAAGGTGAGCTCCATTCTGTTTGGCTTAAATGACCTTTTGAACTTTACCATGTACTCTCATACTAGTTTACTTCTAGCCCTCCTGGATTTCCTTCTGAGCAGAGGTTTGCATGCCTCTGAGACTCCATTGATTCCCCAAGTAGCATCCATGCACAGCCTACACCTATGCTCCACAGTTTTACTTCCGCCCTTTATACAGTTCACCAAGTAGCATTCCAACCATGGGCATGCCCCCACCTACAAATAGATTAAAGCTCTACCCTAAACTTAAGAACATCATCCAGCCCTAGGTAGAAAGTAATTTTATTGCAGCATAGCACATAAAGCCAACTGTACAATTTTATAATACAATTCTATTTTCCATTACAGTGGAAGAAGGAAATATGGCTCTGCACAGATTTCAGTTGTGAATGCCTGCACGCAAAAAGGCTTATATTGCTCTTATAAAAACAGATTTAGCTACATCTTATCAGTAATGTAACTGCACTTTAGAAAGAACGTAAATGCTTTTACAAAGCCATTTTAGAGACAAACTGAAATAAACAGGGCCAACCATAAGCATGCATGTGACTTTAGCAAATATGGTAAAAAATAAAAGATTTCTAAGCTTAAAATGGTGTGGCTTTCTTTTCCATTCCCCACTTTTCATCTTCCATTCTTTCACCCCACCTCCCCCTTAATTGTTCCATTCTTTCACCTCACCTCCTCCCTTATAATCAATTCTGTGTTTTTGTATCTTTCCCTTCTTTCCTCTGGAATCCATCTTCTGGTGTCTCTAGTATTCCCCCCATCTCTCCCCTACCCAACAGAATCAGACTGGCTCACAGCAATAGTATGAAATCATATGGGAGGCACTTGACCCCGACCTGGCAAAGCTATTAAAATAATTCTCCTTATTGTGTTTAACGGGGCTTGTCTCTTTAAATCATGCACACAAAAGCTTCAGCCCTCTCAGGTGTTCATTGGAGATGCCTTTCTGTCTGGAAACCAGCAGCTACTGTCTCCATGATGGTGTTTGCACCAAGAAAAGAAGGAAGCTTTGCACAACTAGTCCCACCTCCACCCCAGTGTGGTGGAGGCAGGTTGACTTAGGTGCAGGAAGGAAAAGCTGTATGGAAGCATTGCTTAACCAAGCCATGGAGTGAAAGGGAAGTTTTCCTGGGTGTGCCACCCCAAAGCTGGGGAGCATGATGACTGGGGGAAAGTACCCAGTCTCTGTGGCTTGGTGCGTGTTGTAGGGGGATGTTGAAGGGTAGGTGCAAGGATGAAAATAGCTCCCTCAGGCCTTTGCATTTCTCTCTCTTCCGAGTCTCCCCTCATTTTGACCCCTCCCCATTTCTTTTCTTAACTGCTTTCTCTTTTCCCTCCTACCTATTTCCCGCTCCTCCTTCAGAGTTACCCAGAATCTCATTTTTTTCTCTTCTTCCCCACTCATCCTACCTGCAGGCACAGTACAAGTTGGGCAATTCTTAAAGCCATCCTGAGCTAGGCTTGGATTCCCAGTTGTTCAAAGTGTCAGCCTTCTCTTGACCTACAATTCTATGGAGAACAGATCTTCAGGGGCACCAGCCCCATCTCTGGCTGCCCCATGTCCTTCATGCTCCTGAGTTTCTTTCTCCCCATTACAGCTGAACTCTTTTATTCCAGACTCCTCCTCTGCCCTTGTCCATTTAATTTTTTTCCACTCATTTCTCCACTCGTTTTCTTTCCTTCCCATCACCTCCTTTCAGGTCCCTTTTCCACCCCTGCTGCTCCTCTGCCCCTCTTCCCATCTTCATTAGCCCAAAAGTGTTCAAAGCACCAAATGAAACTCCCTCTTTTAGACTCATAGAGTGCAAAGCCAGAAGAGACCATTGTCTTACCATGAGGCAAACTGAGGCGGCCGCCTCAGGTACCACACTGTGGTGGGGGCGCCACTAGGACCCAGAGTGTAGAAAATTGTGTCTGCTGCTGGTGCATATATATTCTCTCTGCTCTAGATGCACAGAGATGGTGGAGTGCGGTGCTGGAAGAAGGAGGGCACAAGAGACATAACAGGCAGGCAGGAGAAAAGGTAAGGGGAAATAACAGAAAACAGCAGGAGCTCCAGGGAGAGAGAGGAGGAGGAGCCTGGACTGATTAACACCAGCTTCTCAGGGAGCTTCCTGTTTCCTGCTGCTTCCCTGAACCCACTTGAGGAGAACAGGCAGTCAACTGAAGTAGTAGGAGCCAGTTAGGCCCTTAAGACGCTGATATCTTCCCTCATTCAGGCCCTGCTACCAGCCTGCTTATTTGTCCCCTTCAATTGAGTGTTGAGAGCCACTATAGCTGGCACAGAACAGCAGTCATGAGTGAAAGAAGAAAATGCCCCTCTGGGGCCGCATTCAGAAAAAGAAAGAAAGCAAAGGAAGCTTTTCTATATAAGCAGGAAGGAGCTCTCCTGAGATACACAGACAGAAATTTCAGAGTGGTAGCTGTGTTAGTCTGTATCACAGAAAGAACGAGGAGTACTTGTGGCACCTTAGAGACTAACAAATGTATCTGAGAATTAGCTTTCGTGGGCTAAAGCCCACTTCATCAGATGCATGTAGTGGAAAATACAGTAGGAAGATTTTATATATACACACACACACACACACACACATACAGAGAACATGAAAAAATGGGGGTTGCCATACCAGCTCTAACGAGACCAATCAATTAAGGTGGGCTACTATCAGCAGGAGAAAAAAAAACTTTGGTAGTGATAATCAGGATGGCCCATTTCAAATAGCTGACAAGAAGGTGTGAGTAACAATAGGGGGAAAATTAGAATGGGGAAATAGTTTTTAGTTCGTGTAATGACTCATCCACTCCCAGTCTTTATTCAAGCCTAATTTAATGGTGTCCAGTTTGCAGATTAATTCGAGTTCTGCTGTTTCTCGTTGGAGTCTGTTTTTGAAGTTTTTTTGTTGAATAACTGCGACTTTTAGGTCTGTAATTGAGTGTCCAGGGAGGTTAAAGTGTTCTCCAACTGGTTTTTCAATGTTATAATTCTTGACATCTGATTTGTGTCCATTTATTCTTTTGCCTAGAGACTGTCCGGTTTGGCCAATGTACATGGCAGAGGGGCATTGCTGGCACATGATGGCATATATCACATTGGTGGATGTGCAGGTGAACGAGCCTCTGATAGTGTGGTTGATGTGATTAGGTCCTATGATGGTGTCCCTTTGTTGGAGACCCCAGGGCATGGCCACTAGTTAAGTTGAGGGGATGGAAGGCCATAAGGGTCGAGGAGGTCTCCCTGCTGAAGGCCTAAGGGCTTCTTCTTAACCCCCCTTAATAGAATTCAGGCCTGGCTGGTTTGAGTAAGCTCTTTTGCTCTTAAAACAATGTTGCAGCCACAGATAATGTCTTATAGTGTAAGGTTTGCTGACGCCAAGTTAAAGATAATAGGAGAGAAACAACTACAAGGCCAAACAGAATGTACTGGTTGTTTAAGTTGCTCGGAATGCTTGTTAGAGGTTGCAGGAAATAAACATTGTTGTAACCCATATAAGGAAGGCAGAGTATTTGTGCAAAATTTTAATTGGCTGATGTGTAGTGCAGTAGCATTAAGGAATATAAAAGTGTGTGTAATGACCTGCTCTGGTATGCAGGATTTGAGATTCTATTCTCCCTGTACCTTGTTTGCAGCTGCAAATAAACTTTTCTGCTTCTCCACCCAGTTGTGATTATTGAGTGAAACACACCCGGTAACGAACCCCTGCTGTTGTTTTGCCTCTCGGCACTGGGTGCCGGCAACACCTTGAATAGATATGTGGACAGAGTTTGCAACGGGCTTTGTTGCAAGGATAGGTTCCTGGGTTAGTGTTTTTGTTGTGTAGTGTGTTATTACTGGTGAGTATTTGCTTCAGGTTGGAGAGCTGTCTGTAAGCGAGGACTGGTCTGTCTTCCAAGATCTGTGTGAGAGTGAGAGTGTGTGAGAGTGAGGGATTGTGCTCCTTCCTGCTGCAGCACATCCTCCAAATGGGTGCACTTCTAAACAACTGTTCTCTCTGGATGCCATGACATGCTTGAGAGCTGAATTATAAAGAGGTTCACCATATAGGCAGCTGCAGGAAACCTCACTGAACATCTTCCTTTGCATATAGATTTAAGACATTTAATGAGAGAATTTAATTACAGATTTTTCATCATAGTATATACATAAAAATATGTAATCAAGTGGCATAAAGCTTTTAGTGGCATGAGTTTAGGGTGTATATATGCAGTACATATAATGTAGTTTTAATTGGACCAGACCATTCAGGCATGCGGTGTACATGCAGTATGATACTACTACTAAATCACAGCATTTCATACTGTTCTGCATTATGGCTTTACAATTATTTTTATACACCCTTTTCTGTACTAGAGCAATTATTTTTATGTAGCTTCTGAAAAAAACAATCAAAACAGCTACTAGAAAAATAAGTAGACATCATCCAAACTTTCACCTTAAGTCACAGTAGTGTTGTTGCCGTTTCTGTGATAACCACTTTCTTCTTTTTCTTTAAAGCACATATGGTTGTACTTGTAATAAGGCAAACTGCTGTTAATAACCCAAATCCAAGCAACGCTATCCTTGAAACACTGTACTCAGTATTACCAGTGAGATAATCCATTGGGAGAACAAACTTCACTGCTTGTGCTATATTGGATACATCAGAGTGCAGGGAAGCTTTATCAATGGCACGTACAGCCACATAGATGATGGTGATATTTTCTGTTGCAAAAGCTTCTGGTTTAAATACAAATATTTCCTTGTACCCAGCATGCTGAGGTGTCAGATCAGAAGTATTCACCAGAATAGCTTTATCAAAGTTGTCTCTTAGTTCCAGAGGACTTTCACTTGTTCTTATTTCGTAACTTGCAGCTGAAAATGGAAATATGTCAATAGAAATTATACAGCATGTATTTAACCCTGTAATTAAAACTGTTGATCTGTTCCTTTAGAAGCAGTCAAATTGTTAGCAGCACAAGTGAGCACCTATTCCAGTTACCCTATTCAACCATCTGAATAGTGAAGGTTGCATGCTGGACAGATCCCATAACAGAACACTTGCTCTGCTAACTTGAGGGAGACTTGTGGAAACATTTGTGAACTTGAAATCTCACTGAAGACAAAGATTCACAACATTGGAATTAATAGCCAGAATGGGCTAATTCTGTCCTCACCCAAAGCCTCGCAGCCCTACCAATTTCACTCAATTCAGCCTAGAATAAAGTAGTAAAATTACAGTAAAATTATTGAGTCAAAGGCTTTCGCTCTTCACTTCACTCTCTCCCTTCACATTTGGAGACCACATGGCTCCCTTCTGTGGCTGCTCAGAAAGCAATACAACAATATTGTGAAGGTAAAGCCTTCCATCACAATTGCAAGCACCACTTTTGCAATTCTTTTAAAATGCACTGGCCTAATTAGTCCAAAATCACCCCAAAACCTGTAGTGAAATCCTGGCCCCATTGAAGTTAATGGCAAAACTCCTATTGATTTCAATAGAATCAAATTCCCAAAAATCTTTTGTGTGCTGTGTTTCATGCTGAGTGACAGGAATGGCACATATAGGTCATTTATAGATAGCATACTGGTTCATAATGACCTTTTTTATTTTTTTTTCATATCAACACCATAGAAATATTGGGTAAAAATTTCAGAAAGTTTCTTCACTTGCTCTCATGCTTCAGAAGTATATTGGTTTGCACAGGCAAAACCTGTACGGACACTTGAAAATAAGGTGTATTTTCTCTGGTTGTGCTTGCAAGTTTTTGTGAGCAGAGTTAAGCAGAACGAGCGAAAATTTGTTTCCATCACTGCAATTTCATTGCAATCAGATGACAAGCGACAAACCATCGAACATACCTTGCCCCTGGTCAAGATCATCCCCTGATGCTGTCCATGATAAAATAATCATATCGTTGGCTGTTCTGGCATGAAGATCAATAATTTTACATGGTGGAAACACATCATTATGGGGTCTAGTAGGAACTGCAGACATTATGAAGGAGCCTCCTGAGGCTGTTCTGCTGAAGCCACCGGCTCTGGTTTGAATATCTTCATTACTGATAACGGAGGGTCTTGGTGGGTTCATCTGGATCTTACCTACAGCCACATACACAAAAAAACACTAACATAAAACCTCACCCACAACTGGACTTGTCTCAATATTTTCACATTATTGAGGTCTGAAGATATAATGACCCCATTCTGATCTCACTTATACTGCTGTAAATCAGGAGTAACTCCATTGAACTCAAGTATCAGAGGGGTAGCCGTGTTAGTCTGTGTCCAGAAAAACAACGAGGAGTCCGGTGGCACCTTAAAGACCAATAGATTTATTTGGGCATAAGCTTTCGTGGGTAAACCCCCCCTCCCCAAACTAGTCTTTAAGGTGCCACTGGACTCCTTGTTGTTTCCATTGAACTCAGTGGAGCTGAGAGACCGGACTCACTCCATAGTATGTGCTCTGTATCTTCAAGAATACTGAATTAATGAGAATGAAAATAATACCTAAGTGAAGTTGTTGGGACTCAGCATAAAATGATAAGTGTTTGACATTTGCTAAACCTTAATAACAATTCTGCATGTAAGATGATTGATTATGATTTTCCAGTGCCATTGGGGTACATGGCACTTTACAGATGTAGAGGCAGGAGAACTTCCAACATCTGCTTTTTTCACAGGCAAAAACATAAATCCGTGTGGATTTATTCCTTCTAAGGTGCCATCTACATTACGAAAGTAGTGTTCTAGGAAATAATGGTTTTAAACTTACTTTAAACTGGTTTTAACTACCCCTTTTTTGCTCCTGTGTAGAAAGGGCAGAATTCAGTTAAAACAATTTCTGAAAAGCATCCAAAACTAATATCATCCAGCCGGGCCGATCCTTATACTTATGAAGATCTCTTAGCAAGGATGCCAATGCTCTAATGCCCTTTAACAGTGTTTGAGAGAATGTGATGCAGTTATCTATTCCAGTGTATCCACAATGAAGTTTGTTTTACATGCCTCACACTGCATTACTCCATCTTACCATTTTCTATGTAACCGGGTATATACATAGAATGACTCCATGGCACTATGGGGTATGGTCTGACAGTCTTGCTAGCTCGTTGAACACATACTTTCAAGTTGTATCTGCCATTTTCAGAAAAAGAATAGATGTACCTGGAATAGACACCATCATTCTTGACAATGTCTGACCCTAGACAGAAAAAACAGAATTAGCACAAAGAAATTACTGCATTAGTTCGTTCTTCATTGTTAGAAGGAAACTAAAAGGCAGGGATGGAGGGAAATTCTGTTCTGACTTATAGCCCATGCAACTCCATTAACTTTGGTGCTGTACAATATCAGAGAATAATTTTACACAGGCTGTTTATAAAGTGACCAAAAGAATGCAGTCGGAAGCTAGAATGCTTGCTTATCACCCTGAGGGATGCTGACTGAGGGAACAACTGATTTCTCAGCATGGAAGAGTTAAGGGATTTTCATCTCCTGGGCCTATTGCTTCCCAGCATGGATGATCATACAACTATATCATTAAAGCTATGTGAGCCAAAGTCAGACCACTGTCAGAAAAAGGCCACACGATCAAGCCACACTGCTCAGTTAAAAGACAACGATGCAGGTATTGTGCTTTCAACAGGCACGGTTATGCAACTGGAGGGAGCTCCAGGGAGGTCTTTATTAAAATTCTGCCAAAGATTGAAGGGAGTTTGGGATGATTTTTCTGTTTATGATGGAGTTTATTCCCTTTTTGTATATGGCTAACCCATCGCTTTCGGAGAGAACAGATCCCTGGGCTGCACAAAGAACATACATTTTGCCTTGGAATGCACCACACAATAGATATTTGCAAGAAATTTCCCAGATTACCCCCATTTAAATCTTCATCCACAACCAACACTTCAAAAAACTCCTGTGCTACACTATCAGTTATACGTAACACATTTTTCATTAAGTAAGTATACCCATTTCCATTAAAGCACAGGTAACTAAAGTTTGTGAGCCAATTGGTAGTGCCTTCTTTCTCACTGTTATGAGAAAGAATTGGTTCCTAATTCCCTCACACTTCCTTCCTGTAAGCACATTGCTCGCAATGTAAAATTTTTATGGGAACCCTTGTTTATTGTTGGTAGCACATCACCGTTGGCAGGTGATGACTTGATAAATATAAAACACTAGTTACAGCCTGTTCTGGAAGGCCTTCTATACCAGCAAAAGACATCCCAGAGCACATTTGTTTCCTTGGCTATACAACATTAAAATTGCTGAAGATGCCAAAAAGCCAAATGTGTGTATGATTCAGTAGCAAGTGTAGTCACACAAATTGCATATAACAGAGGACAAGTCAAGAGCACCATTCACATTAAAATCTTTACTTTTCCTGGGTGCCTCTCACATATAATCTGTGCTTTCAGAAATTGTTACAGCAGATTCAATTGCCACACACTGCAGAAGCAAGAAGCTAAGTGTCATTTCTGAAGCAACAGCTAGCCACACTGAGGGATATTTGAGGAGGTTGGGGACAGGGAAATAAATAAATAAATAAAGGTCCAGAGGAGAAGCTGCAAACAAACACTTAGGTCTCAGTCCTACAAAGGGATTTTCAGGCATGGGCTCTTATTTCCACATAGAGCCCCAGTGACATCAACTGGATTTTGACTGGGGCCTTAGCTCGAAGGATGACAGCAATGAGTAAATTAAATAAGTGGTGATGTAACTGGGATTAGATTCATCATAGCAGTAAATGCTAGATAATTACACAAAAGAAAACAATGTATAAATCACCTTCCAATTTATAGAAATGTCAGTCAATAAAATTATGAAGTGATAATTGCCAACTGTCTATAGAAGGCCTTTATAATAAGTATGGTGCAGCACAGAGATACATATCACTTCACAAAATACATAGACAAAGACTGATTTATCAGTGCCTTGCACCTCACATAGTCATTTAAAGTGGTGCAAAGCAAATGTATAATGGGTGTGAATGCTACTAAATCAGAATGGTGATGTTTTACATCCACTTCACATGGATGCAAACGATTGCACCAGGTGCAAGGCACGGGAGAATCAGGCTCAAGTTTCTTGCCCTGAGGAGCTAACAGTTTAAGGGCCTGATCCTGCAAATACTTATTACTGAGAAGTAATGTGTGTTTGGCGTTATTGGCTCTTAAAGGCTTGCTACTACAAGTACAGATCAACATCCATGTCCCTCCATTTGAAGGGGAGTAGAGGACTGGGCCCTCAGTCAAATACAATATACACCAGAACTCCGTTAAGACTTCAATGGGACTATTCACATGCTTTTAATTAAGCGCATGCTGAAGTGCTTTGCAGAATAGGAACCTAAACTAGGAGTAATTTCACTAATGTCAGTTGCACTCATGTAAGTGAGATTGAAATCAGGGCCAATATCTCTCAGCATATTGTTTAAAAATCATACAATGCATTAGCAATTATGATAGCCCTTTGATTTGATTTTGTAAAATTGCAACATGTGTCACAACAGCCTTGTTACCTGCACCATTGTCTAAAAGTCCCAAGACAATTGGATCTCCAGTCCCCGGTTTGATAATGGCAGTTACATTTGCTCCAAGAATAGGTGAAAGTCCTTGACTGACTCGTGCATAAACAACCATCGATCTAGGGTATTCGTTTCTATCACTACTCATGTGGGCTTTCACAGTTATTGCAGGTATAGTAGAGTTTGCTGCTCGGGAAGTCACTGTCATAGTTAGAGCTTGAGGGGACAGGTGAGTATTCATGAGAGCGTAGGTCCACTCCCCAACCTGAAAAACAATATTTTAAAATTAAAGAACCCCCTGTTATACCAACAAAATAAAAACCAGCAGGATCTTATTAAAGGGGAAAAGGCAAAATACCACATTTATTGTGGATACAGAAAGAATCATAGTAAGCAGTTAGTTATAGCTATAACATTCCATTCAATCTCATATTTATTCACACATTCATTCATACAAACACACACACACACAAGTTCTGCAAAGTTATTATCATAGTTACCAGCCTTAGAGTTGCTCATGCCAAGCCATTGGCCAGGTGGCCTGGACATGAGGAGGGAGCAGGGCCTTTTCAGATGCTCATCTGATGCTCCTGGAAGTTGGTTTGCAGAATCAGACCCCAAAGTTCTCACTTTCTAGAGTCCATTTTTATAGGAATTTCTTTCTATGCCAGTCTATGGGAATTGCTTCATCATGCTGTTGCTGAATCAATCAGCAGATGGCACATTCCTGACAGCTCCGTGCTGCTTGATGTTATCTTGTTCTTTGGTTCTCCCATTCTTGAGGCTGTTGGGTGGATTCCAGTCTGCCCTCCAGGGGGTCCTCTGGTTATTTCCACTTGACACCTTCTTCAGCCGATGGACACTGGATTCTTAGGCTGGCACCTCCCTGATCATTCAATTATTATCCACACCAAGCATCCATCCACATACATCCTCTATCTCTATTTTAATCACAATTGTTAATACAACAAAAGGGCGGGGATCTCTGGGTGCTGTTTCTGTTGTTACAGAGTATTGCTTTGAGTCTCTCTCTGTGTGAATTGCTTTGAGAACAGACTCTGTCTTAGAATGTACTAACGCAATTAGCAGCTTGCAGGTTTCACACATAGAGGGAGAGAAACAAAAAACAAAACAAAAAACCAAGAGACCTCTTAATTAGTAATACCCTGGAATTTAAACTATGGGGAATCAAACTCATTTGTGATTTTAATACAGAACTTCTTTAATATGATCCAACACCCCCGGTGATCAAAATTTTAATTTTGGGCCTGATTCTGACATCCTTACTCGTGCTGAGTACTTTACCCTTCCAATTGCCTTGTTTAAATAATTGAGTAAATATTACTCTACATGACTAAGAGTGACAGAATTTGTCACAGAATGTGATTTTAAAAAGCCTTTCACATGAGTAGTTTTTACTCATTGAAGTAGTCTCCTTTGACCTCAATGGATTACTCATATGAGTAAGGGCTACTCCTGTGAAGAAGGGTTTACAGATTCATGCCCTTCATTGTTATAAAATTCAGCACCTCTAGTCTCATGGAGTCTGAGTGCTCAGAAGAATAATTAGGAAATATATAAAATTTTAACAAAAATCTGATGCACTGGATGTCATTGTTTTAACAAATCTTGTTAGCAACTTTAACATGCATTAATTTTGTGAGTGTTTCAAAAGGAATTACACATGCTGGATTAGTTCAGTCTTCACATGCTCCTTTTCATCTCTCCTTCTCCTTTGTTCTTGAGCCTTTTAACTTGATGTTTTTGAAGTGCAGGTTCTTTTCAATTATGGCTTTGTAAATTTTAACAAATCATTTCAATCCTTTTGGTGCTACATATCAGACAGAGAAATAAAAAGGAAGAAAATGGATCCCCTGCATAGCAGTGAGGGGCTGGGGATGTGGAGGTGAATTCTACTGTAAAGGAAGTGAAAATAAAATGAGTATAAGCTTTAAAGTCTCTTTTAAATCTAAAGAGACCTATTTTTCAGCTCAGTGGGTAAAATAAAAGGTCATGAAATTGCAATGTGGCAGAGTCATCATATCACATTCTGCTCAATTATTCCATATGTGAATGCAATTTAAATAATTCATGTTTCACACAAATTATTTGGTTTTGATCAAATGACAAAAGAGAGAAGTTAATTTCTACCTCTGCAATTCCTGGAATCTGGAGACGAGCTACCTGCAACACTGTATTAACCTCAAAGTCCTTATTGGTGTAGTTTTTTCCATTGGGATCAAGGAGAGTGATCTTTGGTGGTTCAGCGGTCTGCCACGTTACTACAAAGAAGGTATCCTTTCCTACTGTGCTATCAATCGTCACTGTCCTACTAAACAGCTTACAGCTCTCAGTCCTTTCACCAGCACTTTCAATCTACCAGAGAAAAAAAATAAAACCAGAATAACTAGAATAAAAAACCCCTTCCATTTTACCCTTAAAAATAAAATCTGATGCTTAAATAGGACAAAATACATCGTAAGACATTTGTCTTCATAATTTTCCCTCTTGCTCTGAGCATATTTTAGCAGTAATTCCACTGAAATCTGAGAAGTTACACTGGTATAAATGAAAGGATATTCAGGCGCAATGGCTTTCTTCCCAAAATGGTGCACACAATTCCCTCTGCTAGATGGAATTTCTGACAAGCTCAAATATATGTTGGGATGATCCAGTGGACATAGTGTACTTAGACTTTCAGAAAGCCTTTGGAAAAGGTCCCTCACTAAAGGCTCTTAAGCAAAGTAGGTAACCATGGAATAAGAGGGAAGGTCCTCTCATGGATTAGTAACTGGTTAAAAGATAGGAACCAATGCATAGGAAATAATGGTCAGTTTTTAAAGTGAAGTGAGGTAAATAGTGAGGTCCCCTATGGATCTGTACTGGACCGTGCACCTCAACATATTCATAAATGATCTAGAAAGATTAGTAAAACAGTGAGGTGGCAAATTTTGCAGATGATTCAAAATTACTCAAGATAGGGGAATGCAAAAGTTACAAAGCTGACTGCAAAAAATTACAAAAGGATCTCACAAAACTGGATGACTAGGCAACAAAATGACAGATGAAATTAAGTGTTGATAAATGCAAATTAATGCATATTGGAAAACAATCCCAACAAAACATATTAAAGGATGGGGTCTAAATTAGCTGTTACCCTCAAGAAAGATCGTGGCGCCACTGTTTAGCTCTCCAAAAACCATCTGCTCAATTTGCAGCAGCAGTCAAAAAAGCTACGAGAATGTTAGGTACTTTTAGGAAAGGGATTGATAAGACGACAGAAAACATCACAATGCCGCTACATAAATCCATGCTACGCCCACACTGTGAACACTTCATGCAGTTCTGGTTGCCCCATCTCAAAATAGATATATTAGAATTGGAAAAAGTACGGAGAAGGGCAACACAAATGATTACAGGTACAGAACAGCTTCCATATGAGGAGAGATTAAAAGGACCGGGAGTGTTCAGCTTAGAAAAGTGAGGATATGAGAGAGGTTTATAAAATCCTGAATGGTGTGGAGAAAGCGAATAAGGAAGTGTTATTTACTCCTTCACATAACACAAGAAGAGGGGTCACCCAGTTAAATTAATGATCAATGGGTTTAAAACAAACATAAGGAAGTACTTCTTCTTTGCACAACACAGAGTCAACCTGTGGAACTTGTTGCCAGGTGATGTTGTGAAGGCAAAAAGCAGAACTGTGTTCAAAAAAGAATTCAGTAAATTCATAGAGGATAGGTTCATCAATGGCTATTAACCAAGGTGGTCATGCATGCAATCCCTAAGCCTCTGACTGTCAGAAGCTGGGATTGGATGACAGGGGATGGATCACTCAATACATTGCCCTGTTCTGTTCATTCTTTCTGAAGCATCTGGCACTGGCCATTGTCAGAAGACAGGATACTGGGGTAGATGGACCATGGGTTTGACCCAGCAGGGCCGTTCTTATGTTCTTAAAAGACAGAGCTGCTAAAATGTAGCACTCCTTTGTGCAGTGTTATTTGTAATAGGACTTAAGAATACTGTTGCTCAGTCAATTGCAAAAAACTTCTTTGGCTGTCTAAATATGGAGGAGTTGGTGTACTCGTGTGATCTTTCACATAAGGCAAGTACTAGGGCTGGAAAAGGCCTCTTGTGTTATTAATTATTTGTTGAGTGCTGACAGAGAGCTCAGTGTGGAGTAAGGCATAAAAATAAAGACAGCAGGGAGGAGATAGGTGCCCATTCTTTGGGTGTGCCATGGTTCCTGGATGGTCTTTTTCCTTTCTGTTTACTGTGATGTCATTGTTTAGTTCTCATTAGCCTAATCTGGTGATAATTGGAAAGTGATCAAGGAACGGGGCATTTTTTTCCATTTTGTCTCTGCTGCTGTAGCTGTTTATTAGCCTTATTAATTATAAATTACTATGGAACTGATCCTCGGTTGGTGTAAATCACTATCGCTCCATTTAAGGCCTGGTCTACACTTGAAAGTCAGGGGATGGGATATTTTACCAAAATAGTTATACCAGTACAATTGTAGTGTGGACTCAGTTAAGCTGGTATAAAGGTGTCTTATACTAGGATAGCTTATTCCTTTTCCAGTGTGGGAATAGCTGTATCAGTGTAAACACTTTTATACTGGTATATCTTCATCCACACTGGGAGGGTAGTTAGAGCAGCACATGTTTTATCTGTACAGATGCCCATATTTAATGAAGCTAAACTTATTTACACCGGCTGAGGATTGGACATAATTGTGTGTTCAGAATGTCCTCCTTTTCTTAGAATCATAGAATATCAGGGTTGGAAGGGACCTTAGGAGGTCATCTAGTCCAACCCCCTGCTCAAAAGCAGGACCAATCCCCAATTAAATCATCCCATCCAGGGCTTTGTCAAGCCTGACCTTAAAAACTTCTAAGGAAGGAGATTCCACCACCTCCCTAGGCAACGCATTCCAGTGTTTCACCACCCTCCTAGTGAAAAAGTTTTTCCTAATATCCAACCTAAACCTCCCTCACTGCAACTTGAGACCATTACTCCTTGTCCTGTCCTCTTCTACCACTGAGAATAGTCTAGAACCATCCTCTCTGGAACCACCTCTCAGGTAGTTGAAAGCAGCTATCAAATCCCCCCTCATTCTTCTCTTCTGCAGACTAAACAATCCCAGTTCCCTCAGCCTCTCTTCATAAGTCATGTGTTCCAGACCCCTAATCATTTTTGTTGCCCTTCGCTGGACTCTTTCCAATTTATCCACATCCTTCTTGTAGTGTGGGGCCCAAAACTGGACACAGTACTCCAGATGAGGCCTCACCAATGTCGAATAGAGGGGGACAATCACGTCCCTCGATCTGCTCACTATGCCCCTACTTATAATCCCAAAATGCCATTGGCCTTCTTGGCAACAAGGGCACACTGCTGAATCATATCCAGCTTCTCGTCCACTGTCACCCCTAGGTCCTTTTCCGCAGAACTGCTGCCTAGCCATTCGGTCCCTAGTCTGTAGCTGTGCATTGGGTTCTTCCGTCCTAAGTGCAGGACCCTGCACTTATCCTTATTGAACCTCATCAGATTTCTTTTGGCCCAATCCTCCAATTTGGCTAGGTCCCTCTGTATCCTATCCCTGCCCTCTTATTGAGAGTCAATGTTCTAGTACATGCCACTCTTCTGACAGTATCTGCATATTTCCTCCTTTAAATCATTAGCACATTACCTTTAAAAAAGCTTCTTTGTTTTTCTGTATTACAAGTTCAGATTCCTTCATATCTATTTGTATGACAAATCCTTCAGTGTTCAGAGCTTTCTAGTTACACTTTGTTCACTCTTCCCTACAATATCTACTTTATACTGCAGAGTACCAAAGTTGTATTCAATATTCCAGATGCGGGCATAGTCACGTTGTTCTACAGCAATGTTGTTAGTAGTAAGGACGACACTGGATATGATTAAAAAGTTTGATTCAGATGGAACTCTTGGCAATCTATTTCCACACCCTTCTCTGCACACCGACAAAAGAAGCTCATGGTGGAGACACTCCTCTCTCCTCTTGAGCCTCTGTTTGTACCACTAGGTGATGCATGGTGCCTCGCTGAACCTGCTGCAAACCGTTGCACACCTCCATATGAAGAAGTGCATGTGCTCTAGCATGGTGCAGAGCTTGTGGTAAAATGCTAAAGCACAGCACATTGTACAAGAACTCAAAGTGGACAGAACGGTGCCTAGCACAAACCCAGCTAGGCCCATCTGCTGTCCTGTAAAGGTGAGAGTGGTGGTCACAGCAAAGGGAGGGTTAGAGAAGTTTGCTGTGGACTGACATGTAGGAAAGATGCAAAGGGGGAAAAGAAGGGTTTGTGAATTGATCAAAACCTTACAGGAGGTTCAATTCTTATTTAGCCTGAACTGGTTTCTCTTAATTACTACTTCTGCGCCTCTTTCAAAATAAATGTATACAGTATCATACAAAAGTTTTACTAATGCTGCAGTGCTAGTCAATAAACTGGGAAACCAAAGCATTAAAACTGGTTACAAGACAGACCTGAATGGAATGACTGGAAGTATCTCCACTCCCTGATGAAATTGCGCTGAAACCATCAATTAGGTCATTGGAGTCCAGTCTATCTGAGGCAAAAAACGTTAAGCCCCCTGAAATAGAATATGGTTTTTATTTTGTAATAGAAACTCAATTTTAGCTATTGTAGAGTCTTTTGACATACTTGATATATGATCCCAGATTTAACTGATATACAATGAACTTGCCACAAGAATCTTAGCCCAACATTTTCAAAGAAACATGAGAATTGCTACACAACATAAACAGGGACTTTAACAGTCTTGTGACTAAAAGCTCTCCCATGGCTTTCAAAATAGATCTAATCAGAGTGACAATCTGAACGTACCATCTCTTAATGACTCTGTTTATTTTAAAAATCGTAGCAGTCATTTTACATTATTTACAGGATGCATTCCAACTGCATTACAGACCCAATCCTCTTAGCCTTACTAAATGAGACAACTTGTGACGAAGGCTTTTTGCATGAATAAGGATTACAGGATTGGACCCTGCTTAGACATTTAGGGCCAGGTTTCCAAAAGTGGCCTCATTTTTATGGACGTCACAATTTTTTTAGTGCCCAGTAGCTTTAGACATATTTGGCCTAATTGTCAAAGGTGTTCAGCCCCCAACGGTCCTACTGATTTAAAACAGAGGTATGGGTGATCAGCACTTTCAAAAGTGACTAATGATTTTGCATGCCTCCATTTGTGAGTGCCCAGTTTAAAACAAAGGGCCAGATGCTGGTGCCCTCACTCATGCTGGTGAGTTCTTACATAATTAGACCCTTTGTCTTTAATAAGGCTATTTGTGTGAGTAGGGATTAGACTATGCAACCCTAACCATGTAATGATGGCTACGCAAAAACTGAGGCACCAAAAATTAATGTTCACTTTTGGAAACTTAGAACTTAGGCCCTGGATCTGACCCTGTAACATACATTCACATGGAATAAAATTCACCTTTGTAAAGAGGCCCAACACAAGGTCTACATTAAATCCCACTTCAATCATTGGGGTGGCCCTCCACACAAGGGTTAATTTCACCTAAGACAAATGGACCTTACTCATACAGTTTGTCTCACTGATCTCAGGCATCTAAGTGGTTGAGATGGAAAATGGAATTTTAAGCTTGAGGCTTCTCTATTCACTGAAATCCAATTTTCATTTTTATATTCTGCTAAAATACTCAGAGTCTAGCCATATAAGTTAGTTAAATAAGCCATCCAATCAAGGAAAAGAAACATTACCACATGACTTATCTATCTTACCAATGCAACACAAAAATCAGTATGTTAAATATTTGGAACGAACTGTTAGTGAGCAATTGTACAGGAATAAGAAAATTGCAAATAATTTTGAATAATGTTTAAATGTGAGAGTCTTGAAGTCTGCTCATGGACGTTTCAAACAGAAAATAAAAAGGGAAAAATTGACAAACTACTCATGATGAATTATCAGCTCAGCTCTGCAAAAGCAGTGTTCTTTAGTAGTAGTTCCTTTGGAGTATGGCGAGACTACCTACATAGTTGCCCAGATTGTTTAAGAGAGACAGCTACAACAACACTGCAAACAACCATAGATTGTTTTAAACAAACACAAGAGGGACAGCACCACAGTCAAGCAAACATCTATATATTTACTTAACTTGACTCTGTTTACTTTACTACTTGAGCTAAGTGTTTAGAGGACTGGGGACATGGTTTGTTTAAAAAAAAATTTTTTTTTTACCTGTCTCATGGGCTAATTGTTCAACTTCTTTAGCAGCAGATGGGCCAAAAGCAATGGTGTGAATGATGGATCCACTGTTAATTACGTTAGAAAAGCATTCAATTATCCCACTGTCTTCTCCAGCTGTCAGTAATATAATTTCAGAACCATATATATTTCCTTCTTGGTTTTTAATCACCTGATAATAGAGCACTAAGTATTAATATGAAAAATGTACATTATATGCTCTGCACATTCAGGTACAGGAAAATGGCATTGCAAGAGAAAGTATATCAAAGCAAACATAATGCAAGTGCCCTTATATTCATCAATTTATCTGCATTTGGTATCCATTATGTTATGAAGTGAAGAAATAATATGGGCTAAATTAAGAATGTCCTGTATAGGTAAACTTCAGAAGGAATGAGCACAGGGAACCCCTTCAACTTTACCCCCTTCCCAGTGTACTTGTGCAGGACACAAATACCATTAAATAGCATCCAGGGGTTCCAGGCTTGTTTTCTCTCAAAGGATTTCCATATCAAATGTGCTCAGCTGTTTTTTATTGTATTTATTTTTATCCATCAACACTGCTGACTCTGAATGTCAAGCTGAATTCTTTCCTTTTAATTCACCTCCACCAGTAATAAAGATTTTGCTGGCCAAATTATGTCCTTGGCTAAACCCATGCAATCTTCGTGTGTTTGCATAGGTGCAACTGATTGGAGCTGTTGATGCACAAGAAATAATGGAATTAAATGTATTTTAGTCATTAGTGTTGGCAGATATGACTCTGAGTACATACAGGGAGCAGGTCTGCTGAGCAAGTAGTACCATTGCTGTTTAATCACTTGTCAAAGCAGAACTGCACTTTCAATAGTAGATGAAAGAGTTTTGGAGAGTTCAGAAACTTTTCATTTGGGTGATTTCTAGTTTTAAAATTGCATGTTAAAATACAGATCATTAAGCCTATGAATGACTGTGCAAATGTAAACTAATTAAAGGGAAAAGTTATTTTTAAAAAAACCTAATACCCTGACTTGAAATCTCCAATTTTTATTAATTATGATAGTAGGCTGTAAATGTATGGTATGTATAGTGGAAAACCAATAAAAGTTATTTAAAAACATTATAAATCAACAGACTCCATTTGATATCGCAGCAAAAACCCAGAAATGTTCATAATTAGTGACTTCACAAGTGATGCAAACAGAAACAGTGCTTGCACTACTTCACCTCAAATCCCAGCTGCAGACCCACACACACGTTTGTTCCTCCAGTAGGTGCAGCAGTAGGTAGGTAAGAAGCAAGTTCTTTCCGTATGTCCTTGTTGACTATTTGACGCAACTGACTTCTGATTTCTCCTTCGTTATTGAAGGTGACAATACCAACATAGGAACTGTCTTCAACAACTTGCAGTAGATACAATTCTGCTGCCTGACGCAGTCGATTGATCCGATCATCCTACACATAAAACGTTCAAAGCAAACAGTGCTATTAATAATTCACAATAATGAAACCGGGCACTTCTAAATTATCTGCTGAAAAGGACAGCATCTTAGAGAAAAACAGCATAAAATACTGCATATTCAAAAACTAGTTTCAATTTGGAATAAAAGGTGCGCTGGGACAGGCTCTGCATGCCATACCAATTATTTAAAATTACAAAACCAAATTTGCAGATCCATCAGCTTTACCTAGCAGCAGGATAGTCAAATGTTAAAACCCCCTATGTCAGCCTATACCCCAAAGGCAGGATGAAACAAATGAGCCCTGCAGTACGAAGTCTGGTACAGGATCAGCTACACAGGCAATCCCTGTTCCGCTTACGTTAACGGAGTCAATGGAAATCACAGAGCTGTAACAGCCGTGGTTCGGCTGGAACAGTCCTAGGTATTTACAGATGGTCCCAGCTGCCTGCTGTCATGTTCAGTGAAGAAAAGGGAGTTAGATTAGATATTGCCTTAGCAGGTTTCTTATTCAATCAGTAGAAGGGCAGCCATGGTAGAGTCGTGAGAGGCTGGCCGGTGGGCTGATTGCAGGAAAGCAGCTCTATTACTCAGGATTCCTGCCTGTAGTAGTCCAGTTAAACAGTGAGAGGGAATCAGTTGAGATGGGAAGGAATTCCTTTCTTGATTGGAAGCAAAAAAATGGGACCCTAAGGGATTAAAAGTACCCCCATACTTCCTCGTACTCCAATGGGCATATCTTCTATCAACATGGCAGCTGACCCTTCTCCCTCACACACAAAACACCAGGGGGAACAGATTCCAGGGCAAGGTTTTCTGGGATTTGTAGTTCTACTTTATTAAAATTAGCAGTGGTAGGAGTATTGTGGCAGTGCCTATAGGCCCCAGTCAGAAAGCAGGGCCCTGTGCTAGTAGGCACCCTATATGCATAACAAAAATACAGTTCCTGCCCCCAACAGAATTTACAATCTAAGCATATTATGAGAAACAAGAGATGTATAGAACAGACAGACAGTGTGGACTCAAGGTAATGGTGAGATGAGTGTGGGTAGTGCTAGCAGTCAGGAGTGCCAGGCTGCTACAGTTCTCAGGGTATATTTACAGTGCAGCTGGCATCATGTTTCCCAGCTCCAGTAGACAGACTGGCTGAGATAGCACACTAAAAATAGCAGTGTAGCCAGGGGTAGCTAGGGTTGCCAGGTGTCCGTTTTTTGACCGGAACACCCTGTTGAAAAGGGAGCCTGGTGGCTCTGGTCATCATAGCTGACTGGGCTGCTAAAAGTCCGGTCAGTGGGACAGCAGGGCTAAGGCAGACTCCCTGCTGGTCCTGGCTCCAAGCGGCTCCCGGAAGTGGCCGGCATGTCCGGTTCCTTGGTGCAGGGAGTAGCCAGAGAGGCTCTGCATGCAAACCCTGCCCCGAGCGCCACCCCCGCAGCTCCCATTGGCCGGGAACCATGGCCAATGGGAGTTGCGGGGGTGGCTCCTGCAAGGACAGGCAGCACACAGAGCCATCTGGCCACCCCTGCACCTAGGAGCCGGACATGCCTGCCACTTCCGGGAGCTGCCTCTGGTAAGTGCTGCCTGGCCGGAGCCTGCAACCCTAACCCCCTCCCACACCCAAACTCTTTCCTGGACCCCACACTCCCTAATCTCCTGCCCCAGGTCGGAATCACCTCCTACACCCAAACTCCCTCCTGGAGCCTGCACCCCTGCCCGCACCCCAGCCTGGAGCCCCCCCTCGTACCCCAAACCCTTCATCTCTGGCCCCAACCCTGAGCCCACACCCCCAGCCAGAGCTCTCATCTCCTCCCACACCCCAACACCCTGTCCCAGCCCAGGGATCCCCACCGCACTCTGAACCCCTCATTTCTGGCCCCATCAAGGAGCCCTCACCCCCAACCAGGGTTTTCACCCACTCCCAGACCCCAGTCCCGTGTCACTTTCATTGGGCTGGGGGTGAGGGTGGGGGAGAGTGAGTGATGGAGGGAGTGGGGATGGAGTGAGCAGGGGCGGGGCCTCGGAGAAGGAGCACAGCAGTGGTGTTTGGTTTTGTGTGATCAGAAAGTTGGCAACCCTAGGGGTAGCACATATCAGGCTAACCACCCAAGTAGGTACCCAGAGAGTCTGGGCAGGTTTGTACTCAAGTCACTAGCCTGAGAGGTCACATGTGCTACTTCCAGCTACACTGCTCTGTTTATTATGCTATTTGGAGCAGAGCTTGCACGTGTCTCTCTGCCTAAGATGGGAAGCACACTTCCAGTGTAGAGTACTCTTGGAAGAAATGGTAGCCTGTTCCAGCAACCCCCCACTGGCAGGAGAGAGCCCAAGAGAATGGCAGCAACCATAAGTGGGAGCCTGAAAGAATAGCATGTATTATAAGAGTTCTGCATAAAAGCCATGTATATCTGTCTATATGTCAGTGGTTCTCAACCTGCAGCCCAATGAGCACACAGCTGCACCCCATGTGACATCCCCAGGGCTATACAGGAAGTATCACTTGTGGCCCACATAATACATTGAGGGCCACCCACAGGGGTAAATAGGTTGAGAACCACTGCTATATGCAGATAGCTTATATATAAAGGGCTTCCTAGCTGAGCTCTTAACAGGGGGAGCCACCTCAGGGCTAGAAGTGGGACTTAATTTCTGCTTCAGAAATCTTTTGAAGCAGAATATTTTTCCACCTTTTGGATCCAATTACATCCATAACCTGGAAAATGGGGCAACGGGTCACGCATTCTAAATCCAAACATAGCCAACATTTGAACGGGTTGGGGTCAGGGAGGTTATACATGAGAGTACTGGTTTGGGTTCCTGTTTATTTGGGGGAGTAAAGAGAAAAGGAAACATTTTTAAAAGTGACCTTAGATCTTAGGTGTCTCTTGAGTGCCTGGTTGTGACACCTTGGGCCTGGTTTTCGTAGATGGTAAGCACCCATTAAAATCCAAGAGAACTTGTGACTTCTCACCACGACTAACAATATCTTGCCTAAAGTTGGACACCCAAACACTGAGGCTAATCAGAGGCTAATTTTACATTTTTATCACAGTTTTCAGTCTTTGAATTTCATTCTCCCATCTAGGACTGTGCACCCCTGCCCTGTAACTGGGGCTGGAAGCAGCCCCCACCCTGCGGCTTGGGGCGGGGAACGCTGCAGCTGGGCTGTGAGCCCCTGTCCAGGAGCTGCGACCAGCTCGAGAGCAGGAGCTGTGTACTCCCCATGGCTGCGCCCCCCACTGTGTTCCAGCTCCGCGGCTTCCACCAGGGGCTGCAGCGGGACCGTGCACCCCCCTTGCTGAGTCCCAGGGCCATGCGCCCTCCCCCACCCCACCCCACCGCAGTTGGGTCTTGGCAGGAGCTGCAGCCCCAGCCGCGCACCCCCGGCTGACAACTGCAGCCAGCTCCAGAGTGGGGGCTGTGTGCTCCCCATGGCTGCACCTCCCGCTGCAGCCACTGGAACTGGAGCTGTGCCCCCCGCCATGGCGGGAAGGGGGGGCTCGGCCTGTGGGTCCCCCCCAGACTCTATTCCTCCCCCCTACTTAGCCCTGATCCCGGTTATTTTTAGTAAAGTCACAGACAGGTCAGGGGCTCCATGAATTTTTGTTTATTGCCTGTCCCTCACTTTTACTAAAAATAACCGTGACTAAATCTTAGCCATAATAATCACTACCATACACGTTTTTTTGTTGTTTTTTAAATACGAGTGGGCACGCGCAACAGGATTGAAAATTTCTTCAGCAAAAATAGTCCCAGATTAGTATAGATTAAAGTGTTTCAATGCACAATGTAAACAAGTCAAATGTGTTTACAATAAACAGATAGAAATATTTCTGAGGGACAATTTACCCCATTCATGCTGTGGGAAACATCAAGAACTAAACAGATCACTCGGTCTCTCTTCTGTAGCAATGAGAAGGTAGGAGGAGGTGGTAGGCTGATGTTGGTCCTTAGAAGCGTGTTATTAAAGTCCATAGAGCTTATTATTACATCCCATGTGCTTCGATAGTTGCACATTCTGTTTTGCAGATTGGGAGCTTCTCTATTATGGTTACTTTCATTACAAAATTCAACAACCTAGAAGTGGGAAACAAATAAATAAAGCCAGCAACACAAGAATACAAATACTGATGTAAGAAAAATAATAATTTGGACTTGTATAGTGCCTTTTACTACAGGAGCCAGGAGCACTTTCAGTTAACTTTATTATATCTGTTTTACCAACGCAATAACTGAGGCACTGACACGGGTTAAACGAGCTACCCAAATTAGCAGCAGAGTGTGGCACAGAACCTAGAAATTCTCTCGTGCAGTCACGTGCCCAATCCACTAGACTATTGCAGCCCCACAGAAAGGCCTCTGATCTAATATTACTGCTTAGGCAGTGTGTTTCCCTCTCATGTCCAGCATGCCAGTGCCAGGTAAGAAGCATTATTTAAGACATCATGAGTAAACGGAAAATCTGAGCCCAGTCCTTATTTATGCAAAACTCCAATGAAAATCACTGGAGCTTTTGCCTGAGTAAGGATTACAGAGCTTAGCTCACGAAAGCTTATCCTCAAATAAATTGGTTAGTCTCTAAGGTACTCCTTTTCTTTTAACTTTACTTATATAATCCTAGTTTAGTGACATCCACAAATGCATACAACGTACATTTCTATAATAGTTTGAAAAGTAGTCTGATTTGTGAAATATACCAGGGATCCAAAAGATAGTCCATAATAAAAATCTAGAATATCATATATAATTGAGACATCAGTAGATAGAAAACAGTTCAGGATTCATTGGTAGCAATGTTTTTAATAGTTTGTTTACTGAGATAAAGGTTTAAACAAACTTAGCATTTCTAAAAGAAGGATAAAGTCTAATGTTTGCAACTGTAGAGTGGATTGTAGAAAAATCTGTTTTTATGTGATTATACTTACAGATGATAAGCTTTGCATGTACATTATTGATGATTTTGCAGTTTGAGTTCTCTCAGGAATAAATGCACATCCTTCCTTAAAAAGTCCCGTCAGCTCATTAATGACACAATTTCCTTCGGTGCAGGATTTTTTTTCACAGACATAGATCCCTGTAAGGTCAGCTGCACACCTGGAAATGAAAGAATATTTATAATTTAGAACTTCCTGACTGGAGTTAGGCCCCAATTATGGGTATGAGGGGAACCCTGACTTTAATGATACAGTTGTCCACTGGGCAGAGCCTAATTGCAGGATCATGGCCTTAATGAGTTACACACAATGAATGTGTTTGAAGAGGTGTTTTTTGTAGAAATGTATTCCATAGCATAGCATGGAATACACAAGGAAGAACCAGTTCTACTATTTTTGATTCCTCAGTCACTCTAATCCATTGAGTGAATCAAAAATATTAATCTTGCAGAATTTATTCTTGCTTTTCACGCATTTCATGGTTAATACTTCATTCTGAAAAGTGACTGTCTTAAAATGGCTTCATGTGGATCTTTGGTTATAGTCTCTCAATGACTTCCAGATAAAATGTGCTAGTTTTAACAAGTAAAAACATGTTGCTGTTTTTTCTAATCCAGTCCTGGCATACGGGAAGAGAGGCAGCATGGAGAAAAAAGATGAAACAGAGACAATCCCACTGGGTGAGAGCAGGCCACGTAGCAGTGATGGTACCAGTTCTGAGGCAGTAATGAAAGAAAAGGTGAGGAAAAACTAGTCCAGCACAAGAAGCTCTGGAAGAAAGAATGGAAAGAAAGCCTGCAGAATATTGGGAGGGATTAGAGAGAAGACAACTAGGAAAATGGAAAGAGAAAAAGTGGGAAGAGAGAAAAGGAGGCAGCAGAGAAAAGGAACAGGCGGCGGACAGACAGTCAAATAGCTGGGTGCGGGGGGTGTGACAGGAAAGGGAATTGCTAAATCTCTGCTTCTCCAGACTGAGAGTAATTCTGAGTCTTACAGGAACAATGCAGTAGAAAATCAGGCTCTGTGTCCTTGACAAACCACGAACCACAACAGTGTTAAGAGAGGAAAATGCAACGTGGAGCAAGGAAAGGAGAATAATTAACACAATTCATATGCACTAATTAGTGTAGGTAGGATATCTCTATGTGGGGTGAAATGGGCACAAAGAGAAAAAGAGACACTTGAGAAGTTTACAGAAACAAACCAGATTGGTACCCTACTGAAACCCATATTTCTAAAGCCATCAGAACTGGAATTTAAAAGAGTAAAATGATCGATTACCTTGTAACTTTAACTTGATTTTGTCCAGTTATATAGAAAGGCTTTTCATTATTATACTCATCAAATACCCCCCATCGAAGGTGGGCCCATTCATGGACAAAAACTCTACCTGTGGGAATAGTACACGGAAAATGAAGGGGTACTGTAAGATGTATTCTAGTTGTTTGTCATTGCAGATCACTGTACGTAAAACCAACCAGCAAAGATCATAGAATCATAGAATATCAGAGTTGGAAGGGACCTCTGGAGGTCATCTAGTCCAACCCCCTGCTCAAAGCAGAACCAATCCCCAACTAAATCATCCCAGCCAGGGCTTTGTCAAGCCTGACCTTAAAAACTTCTAAGGAAGGATGTATAGTAACGCTCAGAAGTGTTGAGTACCCAGCAAATCCCACTGTAGAACAGTGAGAGAGTGGGTGCTCAATATTTTTTAAAAAAAATCAAGACACTTATATTGGTGCTTAAATATGGCTCACTTTAGACACTCTCATTTGAAAATCTTGGCTTTTATTTCTTTGAAAATCACCTTCTAAGTTTACTATATATCTGAGCTTGCACTAAACCTATAGTGACACAGATGTGCAATGAGAGGGTTTTTTTTAAATATGCATTGAAATTGTAAGAAGGTGCACAATAAACAGTAATTAAAGACTTAAGGTTCCTGATGCATCCAAGCACCAGTACTTGATTTTCTGTTAGGTGAACTGAGTTCTCTAGGTGCCGAGGGAATGGGACAAAAGCAAATCCCTATACAATTTTAACATAGGGTTTGCAAGTAGTTCTTCCTAGAGAGACATCTGTGAAACATTTGCAGCAAAGGGTTCAACTGTGCAATTTTCCATTTTTTTCATTTTATTACGAATTCAGACATGGTACTTATGTGTAAAATTTGCACGCATTTTCTTCTGAAAATGGGCCCACTGCAGAGCTAATTTGGCTTTGAATTTTCCCATCTATTTGATGGAAAAAAGTCACTGAACTGAAACTCACAGAAAAGTTAAATCTCTCAGTCAATCTCTCTGGTTAGTCTGGTTATCAATGGGCACTCACTCATCCCCACGCTCATCATGTGAGTTCTGTGTTTGGAGAGCAGTCTTACCCAAAGTGAAACGGAAAAAAGTTTTCAATAATTTCCACAGTTTTCACACACCATTATTCGACTGACAGACTTTCTTCAGAAGAGAATTGCTCAAAAAAAACCCAACCAACCAAAACAATCCAAGTTCAGCTTGGGCTCTAATTTTCCATGCTTGAAAGAAACAGAGAGGTTAATGGCCAGATCCAACTCCCATTGAAGTGACCCCAAGTTAGTTGCCTCCTGTGAGTCAAAGGCAGACAGTTTCACACCCTACCTTGTGCTCATGATAAAATTAACTTGTCTTCAGTTACACATATATGATATTTTAGATTACTAGTTAAGCTTTTTCATGTATGCTTAAATATATAATGTGATGCAAATGAATTAATATTACTATGACAACCTTAACTTCAGCATTCCTTGACTTCTTAACGTTCATGGACTCAGTCTTGCAAACCCTTACTCAGGCACTCACATAAGTGATTGCAAAGATGATCACCTGGAAACTCACAAGTGGCACAACCATGAATCATGAAAGTCAATTATTAGGAGGAGAAAGAGGTAACATTGTCATAGCCAGCTCAGTAAGTACTTCTCCAAATCCTACTTGCATTAATCACATAAGTAGTCCCAATGAAGTCAGTGGGACTACTCAGCATTTTTAGTCTTATGAATACTTACCTATGTCATTGATACCATTGCATTCAATGTGTGCTTTTGCATTTAACAAAATTAACTTCAATGTCCCATGTAATGAGTGGATAATCTTGATAAAGATAATTTTTGGAATACTATCAGTTTTCCATATTTATAATTGGTTGGACGTCACAAGTGGTTGCTGTGTTATTGTAGTCATGTTGGTCCCAGGATATGAGAAAGACAAAGTGAGTAAGGTAACTTTTACTGGACTAACTTCTGTTGGTGAAAGAGATAAGCTTCTCAGAACTCTTCTTCAGACCTGAGCTTAAAAGCTTGTCTCTTTTATCAACAGAAGTTGGTCCAGTAAAAGAAATTTCCTCACCCACCTCATCTCTGGATTTCATCATGTCATATGATTTTTAATAGGGATGATATAGGTATATTTAAGCATGCCCTGGCGCAGAGAGAATCAACTAGATATATGACCTCACGTACATTTCTATGATTTTTTGGCCACACGTTTGAGGAGAGGCAAACCTGGACTATTGTTTAGCTACTCTACATAAAGTGTATTTTTGGGCGGGGGGAGGGGGAGAAATATTATTTCAGTCCTGCAAAGTGCTGAGATCCTAATAACCTACTTCACAGTGGTGTGAGGTATTATTAATGTTTGCAAAGCAATTTGAGATCTTCAAATAGAAGGAGCAATACAAGTACCGAGTATTATTACGACTCTTGGCATACTTAGTAATTGCACTTCAACATGCGTGAAAGTGACAGCACCTATTGTATAGAGAATCCTCACAGATACACCTCTTTTGCTGAACACAACTGAGAATAAAAACAGAAAATTAAGAATGATTTAGTTAATTTACCCCGTGATCCATAGACATCAATCAAATAATCATTTACTAGGAAGTTAGGGGTGAAATGTATATATTTTCCCATGCTTCCACATTCTCCATATTGTAGGGTATATGGCTCATCTCCATGTTTCCAATAAGGAGCAGCAATTATGACCTCTGCCTAAAATTACAAAAACGTCATATTTAATGAATTAAGTGTAATAATATTTTGTTCTGTGTAAGTACAGCGTCTAGCACAAAGGGGTCCTGGTCCGTGACTGGGACCCTTAAGTGCTATGACAATACAAATCATAAACAAAAACATTCGGAGTCTTACTTTCATTTACACTAAGGCCACATTACACCTTTCTGGGAGAATAAAGGGGCCTTAAAGTGGGAGAAAATTACATTTATACTCATACTCAGGCCTCCTTACATGACTACCGTGTGTAAAATGGACTTAAGGCAAATAAGAATCAGTCACTGTACATATAGCAATAACCAGAGACACCACAGTCCAGCAAATACTTCTATAACACGTGCAATTTTCTTGATAATACTCTTTTCATACTTGTTTCCTTTCTAGTATGTAGCCAGTTTCTTCCTTTCAAAAGTGCTATTTTACACTTTCTATCTCTCTGTGACAGTAGAAACACATTAACTTATTTTGGAAATCATTTTAATATTATTTTTGCCTAGTATTGATAACATTCATTCAAATAATTAGCCAAACAAGTTTTTCTTTATTTTTCTCTAATATTTTTCCCCCCAGTCAGAAAACATATGCCAAGAGTAATAAGCGAACCTTTCTCTTTGTGAGCCCCCCACTCACCGCCACCAACCTGCTATTAAAACTCCATGGACCACCCGTGCCACAATAACTGGTTTTCTGCATATAAAAGCCAGGGCCAGCATTAGGCAAGCAAGGCAACTGCCCGGGGCCCCATGCCACAGGTGGCCCTGTGAAGCTAGAGTTGCTCAGGCTTCAGCTTCAGCTCCGGCTTTCTGCCCTGGGTCACAGCAAGTCTAATGTTGGCCCTGCTTGGCAGTCCTCCCTGAAACCTGCTCGCAGACCCCCAGGGGGCCTTGGACCCCTGGCTGAGAACCACTGCTGTATAACACTGGTAGGGAAGATTGAAGTTGCCCCAACTGTAGGTACAGGCAAACAAAAATATTCAGAGAATCTCTGGGTTTAATGCTATCAAGGGGCATGAAGGAATGTGCACAAACTACAAACTTAAGTGGGATTTACAGAACAGCAAGCCTGCCCACTGGGTGACTTTTTACTTGTGAATACTGATATAGTCCAGAGGTTTTGCAGGTGAGCAGCATCCTCAGCTGGAGACAGGACAGTCAAGGGGAAGTCAAATGCAGAAATGCCTTAATGAGCCTTCATTCTTGCCATCCAAATAGTCAAGAGTGAAAGAAGGGGGCAAGAAGAGGAGCAAACAGCAGGTCCTTGGTGCTGTGACATAGCTTTTGCTCACTGCGGGCTGCGGGGGCACGGTGTGTATCTGGCATGGGGAGGGGACAGACTCAATGGTGGAAATGGATGTTTAGAGTCCTTGGCGTAAAAGGAACATTCACTTTTAAAACATGCTCATGACGGTACTTCAGTTTCTAAGACAGGCTTTAAATATTACCTTTTCATATGATTCATGTTTTGGTTTCCCATAATTGTTTGCTTTCCATGTTGCAGGTATTAAAATCTTTATATTCTGGAAATAGACTCTTCTTTGTGTAGCATTGAACAAATAAAAAGAAGCTTCAGTTATCATTTCCTAGTAATAAAATGAAATTAAAAAAAAAACAATAAACTTACTGGAGTCACTAGGGCATTAGGTCAGTGGTGTATGTTACTATGCACAGCAAGAGCTGTAGAAAAGTTACTGGACAATCAGAAGAAGAAAATATAATGAGGCTACTTCACATTTTTATAGCGTTTTCATCCAAGGATTGCCATGTGCTTTCCAAACGTGAATGAAATCCCACAGCACCTTTGTGAGGTTAAACTAAATGTTGTTATTGTCACTTTACAGACTGATAAGCTGAGCCACATAAGGGTCGTAACAAGGCTACAGAGGGAATCAGTGTCAGAGCCAGAAACTGAGACCTGACTCCTGCTCCTCGGCTTCACTCACTAGTCACACCACCTTTTGGTGATAAGTACAACTGCAAACAATAAAGCGTAACATTTGTGCAACTTGCCGGTATAAATTAAGCTTGAACAGTCTCACTTAAAGTCAGTTTTATTGAGACAGGTTATACATACATATTGCACTGGACTTGTCTGGACAATTATAATTGCCTTAACTTTCACAATATCAGTCAGGAGTGGAACTAGGAGAACAACTGGCTTTGGAGCTGTTACTGCAGATTCCCTTTCATGTTGAAACTCTGGGCCTGTTGAAGGCCACACCTTCTCAGATGAACACCAGGATATTAATATAGCAGCAACGCGCTGGCAAAATACTAAACGCATCATAGACTCACAGAGTCTAAGGCAAGAAGGGACTGTTGTGATTATCTAGTCTGACCTCCACTATAACACTGGCCATAGAACTTCTTCACTATGATTCCGAGAGCAGATGTCTTTATCTAAAAAAATTGTGATACGCTACGTCCTGGGCTTCCGCAGGGCCACCCCACGTGCATTTTATTTGAATCTATACCTAGGCAATAACTTCATCAACAGAAACACAGTTACTGGTGTATTACTGCACATGGCTTTTTTTTAAAATACCCATCACCATTAATGTCAGGAGTTTGCTTCATTCCTGTGAGCTTGCGACAAGGAATTCCTTGCAGCTTTCAGTGAAAAATACTTTGTGAAAACCTAGGGGAGGGTCAGACTTTTCAAAAACAAAAACGCTCAGCTCTGACATTTCTGCAGCCCACAAGGGGAGGTGAAGGCCAAAGGGGGTGTAAGCGAAGTGAGCCTGTGTGCCAACAAAGGGACTAGTCCAACCCAGCATTGCACTGGCTTGCTGCTGCCTTACCGAACTGGTGCTACTCTGGGGGGTGAGCTATAGGACTGTTCAAGCTGCAGGGAAGCCGGTTTGTATTGCAGGAGGCGCTCGAGCAGAACTGAGGCCTCACGTGGGGCCTCTTACCTTGATGCTTGCGAGGAGCTTCTGGTCTTCTGGCACCTGCGGGTTAATCGCAACAAGCAGCCCATCGTAGCCATTGCCCCGCAGCAGCGCCGCAGCGCCCCGGCCCGCCGCCAGAGTGAGCAGCAGCGTCAGCAGCCAGCCTGCCGCAGCAGCCCCCTCTCCGCAGCTCATCCCGCAGGCAATGGGGGACTCACACCCCGCACACTGGGCCTCCTGCCTGCAAGATGCCGAGCTCATTAGCTAGGACTGGGGAGGAGCGCGGCCCCTCTGTGGAGCGGGGCAGGACGGTTTAGGAACTGGCCCGGCTCACCTCACCCTAGGCTGGGCTCCTAACCTGCTCGCCCGTTTTTCTCCACTCCCTCCCGCAGTGGGAGCAGCAAGAGAGCATCTTGCTAACCACCCCCGCCCTGGCAGGCGGAGCAGAGATTAGTGCGCGAGAGAGAAATCCCCAATCTTTCTGGTCTGGGGATCGTAACAGCCCGATCCCTGCAGCGCCAGCTTTACAACTGCCCTGAAACCAATCACCTAGGGGAGAAAGCGGCAGCGTGAAAGTCGAGGATGGCAGAGCTGTCATGACCCGTAAGTGCATCCTGCAGAATCAGCTGAAACAGGAAGGAGTGGGGAACACGATTAAAGGCGTGGGGCGTGTTTGTATCTGTTTGGAAGTGGGCTAAAGCCTGGAGGATGATCCAGGTAGCCAGTAGAACGCAGCAGCTGTCTACTTCCAAAATCATTACCTACAGGGGAAAATCTGAGGTCCTTACTCCATGTAGGATGATATAAACGCTGATTAAAGAGTTCAGGATGTGGCTGAGTGAGAAAGTGGGGTGAGGGACTTTAGATCTACATGAGACACTTTCTTCTGGCAACTTCATATTTTAAAACAACAACTACAACGAGGAGTCCTTGTGGCACCTTAGATATTAACAAATTTATTTGGGCATAAGCTTTCCTGGGCTAGAACCCACTTCATCAGATGCATGGAGTGGAAAATACACGAGCAGCTATAAATCCATGAAAAGATGTGAATTGCCTTACCAAGTGTGAGGGTAGTCTAATGAGACAATTCAATTGACAGCAGGATACCAAGGGAGGAAAAACAACTTTTGAAGTGATTATGAGAGTGGTCCATTTCAGACAGTTGACAAGAAGGTGTGAGTAACAGTAGGGGGAAATTAGTATTGGGGAAATTAAGTTTAGGTTTTATAATGATCTAACCACTCCCAGTGTTTATTCACACCTAATCTGATGGTGTCTAGTTTGCAAATTAATTCCAGTTCTGCAGTTTCATGTTGGAGTCTGGTTTTGAAGTTTTTTGTTGAAGAATTGCCACTTTTAGGTCTGTTATTGAGTGACCAGGGAGATTGAAGTGTTCTCCTACTGGTTTTTGAATGTTATGATTCCTCTTGTTCATATTCCGACCTATTCATGATGACAAAGGAGGTGCTGTAGTCATCATGAATAGGTCGGAATATGAACAAGACACTGCTAGACAACTCTCTGACACCACATTCTATAGGCCATTACCCTCTGACTGCACTGAGGATTACCAAAAGAAACTACACTATCTGCTCAAGAAACTCCCTAAAGAAGGACAGGAACAAATCTATACTGACACACCCCTGGAGCCCCGACCAGGGGTATTCTATCTGCTACCCAAAATCCATAAACCTGGGAATCCTGGATGCCCCATCATCTCAGGCATTGGCACCCTGACAGCAGGATTGTCTGGCTATGTAGACTCTCTCCTTAGGCCTTACACTCCCAGCTATCTTCGAGACACCACTGACTTCCTGAGGAAACTACAATCCTTTGGTGATCTTCCAAAAAACACCATCCTAGCCACTATGGTTGTAGAAGCTCTCTACATGAACATTCCACACAAAGATGGACTACAAGCCATCAGTAATAGCATCCCCGATACCATCACGGCAAACCTGGTGGCTGAACTTTGTGACTTTGTCCTCACCCATAACTATTTCAGATTTGGAGACAATGTATACCTTCAAGTCAGCAGCACTGCTATGGGTACCCACATGGCCCCACAGTATGCCAAAATTTTTATGGCTGACTTAGCACAACGCTTCCTCAGCTCTCGTCCCCTAACGCCCCTACTCTACTTGCGCTACATTGATGACATCTTCATCATCTGGACCCATGGGAAGGACGCCCTTGAGGAATTCCACCATGATTTCAACAATTTCCACCCCACTATCAACCTCAGCGTTGACCAGTCCACACAAGAGGTCCACTTCCTAGATGCTACAGTGCTAATGAGCGATGGTCACATAAACACCACCCTATACTGGAAACCTACTGACCGCTATACCGGATTTGCCATGGCGCCAGGCCCACAGTCCAAAGGGGCCCTGGCCCAGCCCGCTCTTCTCTGCCACTGCCCCCCCCCTCCGGTGCGGGCAGAAGCTTGATGCTGTGGGTGCTGGGGCTCCTCCTGCAGCGGGGCAGGCTCCACTGGCAGCAAAGCTCCTCCCCCCGCCTCTTTCCCCAGCATGTTGCATTCCCACCCCACCCCCTCTCCCTGCCGCCAGTCAGCTGTTTGCTGGCAGGAAGGAGGGGGAAGAGCGGATCCTCAGCATGCTTGCCGCTCCGGGAAGGGGGAGGAGAAGAAGCGGGGGCGGAGTCTTGGGGAAGGGGCTGGAATCGGGGCTACCCCCTCCAGCTCCCTGACGTGAGCACCCCCATGACCCCAGCCCACACCTGCCGGCTCTCTGCCCACCCTGACCCCTGCACCCCCCTCATGCACCCCCAGCCCCCTGCCCTGACCCATGTACCCCCTCACACCCCCAGTGCTGGACCTCCCTCTGTTTCCCCAGCCAGCTCCAAACTGCAACCCCCTCCAGCTCCTCCTCTGTCCTTTGTCTCTTTCCCGGGCGAGGCCACCTGATCTCTTTGTTCTCCAACACCTTCAGTTGGCACCTTGCAGGGGAGGGGCCCAGGCCATCAGTTGCCAGGAGACAGGGTGTCAGCCATTCTCTGTGCAGACAGCATCACACCTGCCTAGGGCTCTGCAAGAATCATACACCCTTATCCCACCACCTAGATACTTAAGAAATGCATAGGGGAAACTGAGGCACCCACACAGTATTCAGAGAAAACATTAAGAACATTCCCACTTTGTAACACTGGAGGAGGGGCAGCTAGGTGCTGAGAGAGAGATGAAGAGAATGGTCTAGAACCAGGGAGAAGGTAGGTACCTGCTCTATGTGGGCAGGGGCAGGGGGGGATCCTGTTTACTCCCTCCACAGCCCTGCCGCGCTTGAAGTTTACCCTGGCCCCTCCCTTGCTCCAGGGATCAAACCTAGCTCCCACCCCACTGTGCTTTTGCTCCTGACCCCTTTTACAATCATTTCCCGGGGGGCCCACAAATATGTTTGGCACCAGACCCACAAAAAGTTAATCCAGCCCTGCTTACCTACATGCCTCCAGTTTTCATCCAAACCACATCACACGATTCATTGTCTACAGCCAAGCTCTATGATACAACCGCTTTTGCTCCGATCCCTCAGAGAGAGACAAATACCTACAGGATCTCTATCAAGCATTCTTAAAACTACAATACTCACCTGCTGAAGTGAAGAAACAGATTGAGAGAGCCAGAAGGGTACCCAGAAGTAACCTACTACAAGACAGGCAAAGAAAGTAACAGAACGCCACTAACTGTCACCTACACCCCCAACTAAAACCGCTCCAGTGCATCATCAAGGATCTACAACCTATCGTGAAGGACGATCCCTCACTCTCACGACCTTGGGGGACAGGCCAGTCCTTGCTTACAGACAGCCCCCCAACCTGAAGCAAATACTCACCAGCAACTACACACCACACAACAAAAACACCAACCCAGGAACCAAATCCTGCAACAAAGCCCGTTGTGAACTCTGTCCACATATCTATTCAAGGAACACCATCATAGGACCTAACCACATCAGCCACCCCATCAGGGGCTCGTTCACCTGCACATCTATCAAATGTGATATATGTCATCATGTGCCAGCAATGCCCTTCTGCCGTATACATTGGCCAAACTGGACAGTCTCTATGCAAAAGAATAAATGGACACAAATCTGACATCAGGAATCATAACTTTCAAAAACCAGTTGGAGAACTCTTCAATCTCCCTGGTCACTCAATAACAGACCTAAAAGTGGCAATTCTTTAACAAAAAAAATTCAGAACCAGACTCCGACGTGAAACTGCAGAACTGGAATTAATTTGCAAACTGGACACCATCAGATTAGGCCTGAATAAAGACGGGGAGTGGTTGGGTCATTATAAAACCTAAATCTAATTTCCCCAATACTAATTTCCCCCTACTGTTACTCACACCTTCTTGTCAACTGTCTGAAATGGGCCACTCTCATAACCACTTCAAAAGTTATTTTTCCTCCTTTGGTATGCTGCTATCAATTGAATTGTCTCATTAGACTACCCTCACACTTGTTAAGGCAATTCACATCTTTTCATGGATTTATACCTGCTCGTGTATTTTCCACTCCATGCATCTGATGAAGTGGGTTCTAGCCCACGAAAGCTTATGGCCAAATAAATTTGTTAGTCTCTAGGGTGCCACAAGGTGCCTCTTCGTTGTTTTTGCTGATACAGACTAACACGGCTACCACTCTGAAACCTGTCTTCATATTTTAAAACACCAAACCATCATTCCTTTTTCAGAATCCAAGTGCACGCCTGAAAGAGCTGTAAACCTAATTCCCCACCCAGAAAGACAGAAGCAGGACTCTCAAGGGGCCAAAGTGTGCCTTTAAAGGTGGGACAAGTGTCTTCAAAACCAGGGGCCAAACTGCTTTAGTGATGAACACATGCTAAGTACCAGGAAATACAAGAGTGATTTTTCTTATTGTCTCTTGATTATCCCTCCTGAGAAGGGGCCCTTTGCTATCTCTGTGGACACTGTGACCCCAAATGTGCCCTCAATTACACCCATTGGTTAAAGAATGAGCTGATAAGATCAGATAACTTTTCTTCCCCAGAAATGTTTTTAACAGGTTTCAAATGGTGTCAAAGTTCAGGGCAACTGCATTTTCCCCCTCTGTGATCCTGCAAGGGCTTCCTAGGCTTCCAGCTGTCATTTCTCTTGGGTAGAGATGCATGTCTCTCTCTACCTCCTGAGCAGGGATTTTCCAGGCAGCACAGTTCCCTGCCTACACTGTGATATCCTCAGCAAACCAGAATACCTGGCCTCTGCTTTCTCCTCAGAGGCAATAAACAGTGTAACTGCTCACAGTTATAAATGACCACAAA